TGTGTTGGTGGTGAGCGGCGATACGGCGACGACGAACGACAGTATGGCGGCAGAAAACGGTAGTACGGTGGTAGCAGAAGTCACGACGTCGGAAACTAACGCAACGAGTATGACAAGTGCGGTACCTACGACAAGTGTGAAATGTACGGCACTACGGAGAGGGCGAATAGACGCCGGCGAGAGTCGAAAAATCGCGGAACGACAGACGAACGGTACGGAACCGACAGTGGTGGCAAGTAGACTGAACGAGGGCGAAGAGACAGAACCGATGGAGCCCACACTGCAAGAAACTGACGACGAGATAATGACGGTTCAGCAGTACAGCAAGTTGGTACCGAAGCTTCTACAGGACGGTGAGTATCACGGTATGAAGGTGAAACATATGCACGGACTGGTGACAATCGATACCATTTATGGGAGGCGCGTGATACTGCCACCGTTGCTGTGGGCTGTAGTCTTTAAGGAGATGCACGGGTCTGTCTGGGCAGGACATTTGAGAGGACCGCACACATACGGACGTGTGTCGCAACTGTACTGGTGGCCACAGCTACTTCGAGGAGTGAACAAATGGGTGTCAAGAATGTGGGAGCCGGGAAGCGCGGCCTCGGGAGGTGATTTCGCCGCTCAGAAGCATTCGTGGTGGAGATGTCGGGGATCGCTGGGCATTGGACGTGGCGTGGCCGTTTCCAGTTGCCGACGGAGAGTAGCCTTTTGTGTGGCGGCACTCGACTACGTAACGAGATATGCGGTAGCGAAGTGCGCAAAGCAGCACACGGTCGAAAATGTGGCGTTTTTTCTGATAGAGGAGATCGTACTCAAGTTTGGAGCGTTCCGCGAATTGCTGACCGACGGTGCCCCGGAGATGACTGGCAAAGTCATCGAGCAGTTGGTGATGATGTTGCAAGCACGACAGGTCAATCCGGTGCCCTATCGTCCGCAACTAATTGGCCTGGTTGAACGCTTCCACCGTTCGTGGAAAGACTGTGTTGCTACACTTATGGCGAATGACAAGCAGAACGACTGGAATTTATGAGTTAAGCTCGCCGGGTACGCGTTCAATTCAGCGCGTCATTCGATTGTAGCACTGACGCTGAACGAGTTAATGATGGGGAGGCGGCTGCGGCCACCTAATGAGCTACTTAGACGGACAGCAGCAACGGAAGCAGGAGCATTGCTACCTTATCACAAATAGTTGATACAGGCGATGGAACGGAGTCACGGGTGTGCTCAGAACGCTCGGCGGAAGGAGCAGGCGCGACAGGCGCGCTATTACGACCTAAATGTTCGGCAGAAGCGAGTTTTCGGCGTTGGTGACTGAGTGTGGGTATACAGCCCGCCACGAGGTCCCTAAGCCACTAAATTTGTACACCCGTCGATGGGCCCCATGAAGATCGAGAAGGACACGGATTTTGAGAACTTTGTACTGCAAAGAGAGGATAAGAATGGTACGCCAGAGACGTTGATTACCCATGTGTCATTTCTGGCTAGCTATTCATATCCCGCCTCACTACGGGAGCAATTGGCCAAGGACTTAAACGCACAACTGCAATATGAAGATCAAGATGAAAGTGCAGGCGAGCATGGCGCGAAGACAGGAGCGCCTTTACGCGCAACAACGGGAGTTAGTGGTGCGACGGCAGTTCCGCGAAGTGCAAAACGGAGCCGAGGAGCAGTGAAAAATCCGAGAGGGACGCTCCACGCGAGTGACGGACTGGTGGAGACACGACGGAGACGACGGAGAAACCTGGCAGGGCACGTCATTAAGTACGAGCTCCGGGGAATTGCTGGTGGACGACACGAACACGAGCGAAAGTGGGTCTCTGTATGCGAGTACGAACGTCTCCATCAAGAAGGTAGGATCGTCGAAAACCCTACAGTTGGGGAAGTCGTGTAGCAAGTATGATACGGACGAGTTCGGTAAGGCGGCTACGTATTATGATACGGGCGAGTTCAGTGACGCGACCGAGTACGACCGCTCATTCACGGCGAACGATGATGCGCACGTGTACAATGGAGCGGACGTGACGAGTACGGTGACTCGTTTGACGAGTACGATAGGATGGGCGGAGGGCGAAACGGTGGCTGGGCAGAGCGCAGAAGTTGCCAGGAACGGACGGTACTGACGAAGTGTGGCATCTGGCTGCTGACGGTATTGAAGGACGGTAGGTACGTGCCTCCCGTATCCGAATTCGAAGGATACGGCGAGCACCCGGACGCGAGAAGACCAGAGACGGCAATTTTTTAAGATTAGCAGTGCAGGCATCACTCGGATATTAGTGGTGTCGGCATCTTTGAGATTAGCGGTGTCGGTCTCAACTTTAAGATTAGCGGTGTAGGCATCACTCGGAGATTAGTGGTGTCGGCATCTTTGAGATTGGACGATGTGCTGCTCGAGCTCAGTGGAGCGAGTGGTAGTGCACAAACAGACGGACGGACGGGTAACGCCTCGGTGGACGAGGACCAAGGACAGTCGGCGAGAAGTACAGACAGGGGGGAACGCAGTCTGCTGAAGGCTGCGTAGTAAGGCGGCGTCTGAGTGCGTGCCGAGCCCAAATGACTAAGTGGGCGACGCTGGAAACTTACTGAGCTGCGGCGGGTTCGAGTACATTTCATAGAGGACGTTATCTGTATATGGGTTGTAAACGGACAGTAATAAAGTAAGTGTGCGATCAGTGGATCACACGGCGGCGCGGTGAAGAGAGTTGTTCATCGTCGGCCATCCAGATCTTGGGCGCCATCAGCACTGGGCGACCAACCCCGGCGTGCAGGAGAGCAAAGACACGTTTCAGTGTGTTTGGCCTCCTCTTTCGCACGCGATTCTTCTGTTTTCTATCATTTAAAAGTTTAGATCCGGATTTCTACGAAATTATCTTTTGGTTGCTTTTGTTGTTGTAGGCTAGTGACTTCTGAGAAAAATTCACGACGTTTAGCGTGATCAGATCTAACTTGCGACGCTTCCACACTGCTTGAATATGTGCATCTACTGGTTCGCCACTAAAGTAATGAGTCATCATGGAATGGTAGCTCATAGTGATAGCGTTCGGAGCGGGTTTGTATCCGACCATCTTGGTCAACATCTCTTCGAGCGAGGTGGGACGATTCCTGTGTCACAAAAGTCGCGAACGATATTCTTTATAAAAACCCTCCCAAATGAAATCTGGCTGACCTCCCACTGACTAAATAGCAGAGAACCGTTGTGAATGAGGGGGTAGCCGTTGATTTACAATGACTTGAGCGATTGATATACACCGACGTCGAGAGGCTGCAAGAAGTGCGAGGTGTGTGCGGGGAGATCGAAGACGTACACATTGTTCTCCTCCCCGTACTTGACCGCTTTCAGTGAGATATGTGCAAATGGCCGTCGAGAATCAAAAGTTGTGGCCTAAAAGATGGAACATGCTTAATAAACCATCTGAATCATTATTGAAAATGTTTCGGTTACTGTTTAACGACTCCGATACTTGACACTTCGCGTTGGGGGGGGGGGCTTCATCAAACAATTGATCTTTCGACGAGCATCGCCAAACATGTACAACAGGGGATACCTACCGCGCTAATACATCCATGATGATAGCAACAGCGTTGAATGCTCGCCGATATGCATTTCGGGCATATCACACGCTCGTTGCAGTTGCCCTGAGCAGTGACACCCGTTTCAGCACAGTTCCAACCTGTGCCATAGCTACGCTGGCTCGTCCTCGAGATGGCGCTTCACGATTGCATCCGACAAGTTCTGAAAATGGTAGCTCAAATTCTCTTCGGTCGAACACTCCGCGCGTTTCACGTCCATTTGCCCCTTTCTATTCGATAGTACATCTAAATGCTTCTTCATCCACCGCTTAACTCATTTCATATTCGTAAAATCCTTGGGAACCGCCTTGATGCTTGTAGCAAGAGCGGCTTGGTGGACAAAACCGTGAAACATGGAGGTTCCACTGACACTCCACGAGCACAACGGTAATTATCGCTTCAAGAAGCCCTGCATCAGCTCCTTAGTCGATGTGCACGATATGGGGACCCCGTTGATCGTCGACTGGTACACACATCCACGCACTCTGAGACGGAGAGACTCCCTAGTTACGTTAAACTTCTTGGCTGCCATCACACCCAGGACAGCGCATACTGCAGACAAGTATAAATCTGCCTTGAAATTGGCAGGAACAGCTGTTTTGATGGACGGCATCACAAGGTTGGCGGGGCGTTTGCTGGTCGAGGAACGTTAAAATATGAGATGCGGGAGGGTTTCCTCTTTGCGTCCATGCCGCAGCATTTAGCTTAGAGTGGACCGACTGGTCAATAATGTGGAGCACCCGAAATGGGATTTGATGTAAACTTCGTATTTGACCAGAATATTGTCTAGTGTCCAACCCGGATACATGTATAAGGGCTTGGCGCACGCTCACGCTGTACAACATAGCAGCCGTCAAATAATCCATTGAAGGCCAAAAAATTATACTCACACCTCTGGATTGATATTCCTCTGGATGGTGCTAAAAGGTGGTGGTATCACTACATGGGAGATTGTCTGGGTAGTTTCATCCAATACGACGGGCTGATTTTCCCAACATTATTGGACATGGATTGTCGCCTCACTTCCGGCAAAGAGAGACGCGACGTATGCGGACACCACTTACAACAAAGCTGAGCGCCTAGCGCAGGGGTAATGTGGCTATGCGAAAACGTTATACATTTTATTACATTGGACATGGAAGATAGCTGACACGTTTAAGTTCAGGCCAAAAAAGCACTTCCGTGCCATTGGCTACTTGCGTTAAAGAAGGAGTCAAATGAAAATCTACAGAAGATTATGTTGCGATGGGTCACACAAGAGACCACCGGTAATTACTTGTACTACTTAAGTAGTACACACTACGTGTACATGTAGTAGTATTCAGTTCAAGGAGAACAGAGTGGTTTTCTCAGGGTTTCTGATACAGGTGAATTAACCATCAAATGAAATTTGATGAAATTTTGTTGATGCTATTGTGTTGTGGGATTATTCAAAACGGATAAGCATCTTTCAGTCTCTTCTCGAAAACGCCGTCTTTTAAGGGCATCTCTCTCTTCGTCCTCTTGAACAGTCCGGTGTTAAATTTGGCATTGCTCAAGGCATCGCGGGCTTCTTTAGTGAGCTGTTCCCACGTGATGAGGTGCTGGGTTTCGCCTTTGAGCTGCGTGAAACGCAGCCTCGGTCTCGGTTTTCCGTACCCCTTGTATGATTCAAGCTTCACGTTTGAGCCCTCAAGATACCGGCGCTCCAGAGGGGCTTTGGATTTGTGGCGACGGCCATAATTCAATGACACACCGAGAATTGTCGAATTGGCGAGTGCAGGGTCATCGATCCAGACAACGGCAGCTTCCCAGAAGTGACGACGCTGATATTTGGTGTTTCGACCTTTGGGAAGGTACCACGCATACATGATGGCCCACTTGTCCTCATACCAGGTCGAACGAGAATACACCTGAGAGCCCAACGGCGAGCCCTCGCACTCGCCATCCATTGGTCCACTTCCTTTGAGACCAGCACTTACGGACCCGTCAGCCTGCACGGCCGGATACGGGCGACAGCCGTACGAGACGTAGAGCTGAGGCTTGTATTTGACGGCGGCCACCTCCGAGTCGGTCGTTGGTTTGGGCTGCGCAAACGGTTTGACTTCGTCGTGGTTGATGTACGTGACTTCGGCATGCACGACGACCAGCGTCGCGATCGTAGCGATGACGAAAGCCCGCAGGTTCATACTGCTTAGAAATTGAGCCAGCGAAGACGTGCGTCCGAAGCGGAAAACTGATGAATGAACCTACCAGAACAAGACATGACGCCCTGCAATTCATTGAATGCACGATGCTAGGATGGAGGATTTGCTTAGCGTCACGTATTTTTACTATTGTACTCGTCAATGAACGTTGGACCAGATTATTTTAACATGCCATTTGAAAAGGCAAAACTTCTCGAGCTGGCACCAAAATAGAACAAGGAGCCTACGTAAATGTTCATTAGCATCTCGTGCATCTAGTGAGCTATTTGCGTCCTTACTAACATGTCTGAGCCAAGCACCTCGCAGCAAGAGCTGGCACCAGGCCAGAAGGATTACGTAGTACGGTGCTTAGACTTCATGTTCAAAGCTAAGGAAGATGGCCTCTTCAGAGGGCAGCGAACCCGGGACCTGGTTGCTGAGTGTCTACAGATAGCACACGGCACTGTTACGACTGTGACGAGCACCTACAGAGCCGACAATGAGACCAAGTTTGAGGTGCACATCAGCCATTTAGCGGTGTATGTTCCTTATCAGCTATTTAACGTTAACCTCTATTATTGTATATGTGAAATCAACGCGGAAGGAAGCGTGATTACGACCCAGCAGAGCGAAGGATAAGGTGCCTGTTTAAATAAATATTTGTTTTTTCCTTGCACTCAAATCGTTACAATCGTAATCGGATTTACTGCTGCTCAGTTGCGTACTTTCTTGTACTTTCTTGCGCAAATCCATGTGGTTTTGGGAGTTGCCCAATCAAATGACCGCCTCAAAGGCAACCCGTTTCCCGTAAATCTGGGGCATCTGGAAAAAGTTTAAAAATAGTCTTGTAGCGCAAAAACGACTGCGAATCAGCTAATTCATACCACATTTTTTAAATCTACGCCCGATTTTACCCCTTATATCTAACTGGTGCTATAGGATTTGGGTTGCTGAATCTTCATAACAGATGGCTACATTTAGGTCCAAGGAGTACAATAAAACTTGAACCGTTACCGTATTTTTTGACATGAATAATCCTCATTGTACAGATCCAGAGCTGTACCATTTCAAGGATACCTCCATCGTTTTGGTATGGCTAATGTTTTGGGATACATGTATTAAATACCACTCCAAAGAGAATTCTGTATTAAATTACGGTACAGTACCGTACCGGTAATGCTGGGGATCATTATTGATGACGCTTTAAAAGGATCATGGCCTGTTCGTTTCTTTCAATACACACAGTACATAATCACATCGTGTTACTGTATCTTGCTGCCAACGTCTTGCTGCAGCATTCTATTGTGTTCCTTTTTTTCGGTACCTGTCTATATTTGCTTCGTTATGGTTGGCTTGATTCTATAGGTCTCTGATTAAAGCAACCAGGTAACCAACCCCAGGCCCTTTCTTTTATTTCATACATGTAGTCTATGAAAATACAAATATTTTTAAAAATACATGTGCTGTTTAAGAAATAAAGAGAAACTGAAACATTTGTTGCCTTCTACAAGACATAACTGGTAAAATTGTAGCTGACCCTTAAAGAGCGAGCTGCTAAAAAGAAGCCGGAAATCTGATCGCGAATTCATGTTTTCCAAGATCAGAACTGATTACTGATCCAAAGAAGGCTCTTTCAAAAAAGGGTATTTTCAAAGTGTCTTTGAACGTCACAGAGCACGTGAAGTTCACTCTCCAGCCTGCAGATCCTCCAGTGGAGAGTGTAGTCACAAAAACGTATCCGACTTGTCAGTGGGCGGAGAATCTACAGAAGCCCCCCTTGATAAGTGTAGGGGGCCGTCTGATAAATTTTCATCGGAAAATCACAGCGATCTTGTGATTTGTCAAACGTATATGATCCAATATTAAGGGCCCTTATTCACGGGGGCTTCTGTACCACTTCACACCATGCAACAATACTGTCGACCAATCTTTCCCAAGCCCCTCGGAATTGCCTGTCCAACGGCTGGAAATCATTGATAAACCAATCAAGGTTACACAGTGAATGATTTATGACTCTAGTTAACGACCTCTATTTTGGATGATCTAGTACACGAGAGAATGGGAAACCAATTCTATGAGTTTATTAGCATCACTATTTGGGGTATCACGGTCGAGAGGATTGTCTGACGTGGTATCGAAAACCCGAATTTCTAGATAATCCTCTCGTCTGTGATATTTAATGCTGTTCAGGAGCGATCAAATGATCACAAACTGGATTTTTTACTATCCAGATTTACCAAATCGTTTAGGGAGCTAAAATAACTGTCCGGATGCTATTTGTGGCTGTGCAAGTGTTTAATGTGCCCTTATCTCCATGGCTACAGTACATATTTCAAAAAATACTTCGAAGTGCACCAATACGGGGATCTTAATACATGTAGGCCAAAACTTAAGGGGGGCGGCACAAACTTGGGCTTGTACAGTATTTGATTGTCTACACATGAGCATTGTTCCAGACCCAAACGCCCAATTTAAAAAAAGATACAGCTCATCCCATTTAGTGATACCCTCTGAAATTGGCTTACAAATCAAGTCAAACTTTCCATAATTCTCTACGTACCCAATAGTTTACGGAATCCATAAATATCGTTCTTTAGAGTTTGTGAGCTATTTCGTTCTGGTCTATCGAAGTGCGCCAGCAATGACATTTGCTGTTTGCGTCCTCGCTTCTTACCATGTTCGTCCTTAAAAGCATATCGCTTGAAGCCCACGCACGGCACTTGACGGAATTTCCATCGCACCCGCGTGGATAAATAGCTTTGTCATTCACTTTTGCCAACGTTGAGTTCAGCCGGGGGTCGCTTCACCGTCCATCGCGCGTCCGTCCTCGTTCCTTTGTGCGTCACGGGTGACTTGGAAAATGAGCTCGTATTGACTGAGCCTCGGTGTGAATATCCGGAACCGCGATTACGAACTGTACACTGTATGCTGCTCCTGCTCTTCAGGTACACTGTACCTTAAACGTGGTACACCTGTGGAAAGCGATAACTCTAGAGAGCGATGCACTATCAGTAACATGAGGGGGTTAACGCAGTTGGCAGGGAAAATAGCCTAATAAAATCAAGTGCTGCTCATCTCAAATATCTGAAAATATCTGCTAATATTCTGATCCAAGACTCTCGACTATGCAGCTATTAATACAATGCAGTGAGAGGAAACTGGCATGCATTAGAAATCCAGTTAATGGTCGGTGCCACCGAAATCTCAAGGAAGAAAGTTCAAGAGCGTTTCGAAGAGGCCGTTGCTATTCTGACCACACTTGCGCTTTCCTTCGTTACTAGCCCTTTAAATGGTGCGTGTCCTTCATACTACATAGTATTAATAGCACGGTGCATGGAGAGCATTCCCAGTCTCCAACCGAAGCCTCGAAGTCGCCAGGATGCGGAACAATTCCAAGCGGAAATCGCGCGCAGTTGTAGACGCCCCCGTTTCCCCTAAAAGTAGCATCAACTATGTCCCCGTCCTCGACGGGATCGACGCAAGTGCGCTCTCCTGGTCGTCTCACGCGCATACGTCGCAAGTTCCGATCTTAGACGTCGAGGACGGAGGATCTGCCACGTACAACTTGGACGGTAGCGTGCATACCGTCGCAGCTACTGAAGAATTTGAGCCGCCGCCACATCGACCGCTTCCTCCAGGTCCTCTACAGCGGCTTTTACGGTCATGGATGGTGTTACGATGGAAACTCTCGCGGAAAATCTTCTCCACTACAGTGCCAGTTCTAACCTCAGTAGCTAATTTGAAGCTTGGCGACGTGTTAATAACGTTTCCTATCGTTGCTGGAGCTATCGCGTACACTGTATTACAAGCAAAGACAAACGATGTTCCAGGTACTGGGACGCCGTCTTCTATTGCGTTGGCAGTAGTCTTTGGCTTCGCTGTTCGAAATAACTCCATACTACTGATAGTCACGGGTATTCCCTTCGAACGCGCTCTCTTCTATCACAAATTGGCAGCTTTTGCTACAATTATAATCGCAAGTCTTCACGGATTTACTCATCTATCAAGAGACGAACAGAGATTTAGCAATGTCCAGGTAATCAGTGGGAGTGGCGCTTTTATCGCGTTGGTATCGATGTCTCTACTGTCTTTAAGCTGCATTCGACGAAGATTCTTCGAGTTCTTTCTTCGAGTCCATTGGGTACTCTTTATCGCAGTGATAACGTGTGCGATTATCCATGGTGCAGTGTATGTCATGGTTGGAGTAGCCCCCTGGGCCATCGACATGGTGTATCGTCTAGCGTATCGTTCTCGTATCTATGCTCACGGCTCCGTTAGGAGTGCGAACAAAGGTGTTATTGCACGTAACCAGCTCTCCATTTGTGCTCTTCCTGGGAATATCACAAGAGTTCAGTTCCCTCGAGTACGTCAAGACACAGGCGAGACATTCGCCTATGAACCTGGTCAATACGCGTTCCTTTGTATCCCTTCTATCTCGTACTTTCAATGGCATCCCTTTACAATAGCGTCGTCACCACACGAAGCCATGGTGACGTTCTATATCAAGGCAGTAGGAGACTGGACGACCAAGCTTTTGACTGTTGCTCTTAAGCGCGAAGCGAGCGCCATGAGACTCGACGGCCCTTCGACGTTCGATCTGCTGGTGGACGGTCCATACGGAAAACTCGCGCTCGATTTGTCGACTCCCACGGTGTATTCTCACGTGGTTTTACTCGCCGGAGGGATCGGTATGACTCCCATGCGATCAATAGTAAATTGGCTACATCACGAGTGCTATTATCGAAGTCGTGGGGTCATCCCTCACGTGCGATTTATCTGGTCAGTTAAAGAGAAGGAGACGATCTCAAGTTTACTTGCAAGAGACGAACGGAGACGGGATAGCTGTCTTGAAGTGGATGAGGTGGCGTCCTACTTTCCTCATATTTTATCCCACCCGAGGAACACGAATCAACCCACTGATGCCTTCGTAAGTGAGGTCTATTTAACGCGAGATATCTTGGACGACGAAGCTCAAGATCTCCCAGAACTGAGCAACTGCCTGCACATTGGAGCTCGACCTGATGCCATCGCAATTCTACGAGAAATGGGAGAAGAAGCCAAGAACAGTGGCAAAGATCGAGTCGCGGTCTTGGTGTGTGGGCCGTCCGCTCTTATCGACGATGTGCATTACGCCAGTACCAGACTTGCCAGAGAACTGAAAGTCCACTTCGATGTACATCGAGAAGTATTCGAGCTCTAGTTTTTTTTTGTTGTTGCCGTAAATAATGCGATCGAAGAGAAGATCTTATCATCTAAACACGTATCTATATCTGAGTGTGCGCAATAGAGCGCCTGTCAGCGCTGGACTGGAAGACGTTGTAGGACAGTCCCTTCTCGTCCAGTTCGCCAGCGAAGAGAAGAGCAAGAGAAGTACGTCTATCGACCAGTGGGTTTTAATTCTCAAAGACAGCGTATTGTCGGACTCTGTTCTTGGGATGGTATGCTAGCAACACAGGCGGGCATATTCCACGCGTTCACGTCCGTATAAGAGTTATCTTCAGCCCAAATTCTACTGTCCTTGTTGGATGACTACAGAAAATAGAACTTGTGCAAGCAAAATAAGAAACATGATCACAAAATCACCAGGTTTGACACCGAATTCGACAGTAAAGTATGAAACTGGCTTGGAGAACAGCATACGTGAGCTTCTCCATTTTGCAAGCGATGGCTCGGGGATCTCAGCTTCACTTGCACTACATAAACATGTATTAAACGCGTAGAAACTTGTTGTTGCTTCTGCTGACGAACAATTTTCTTGCAATAGAACACTATTTTCGTGGCTAACAGTAAACAGGGTACTAATTTCAAATGAAGTGTTCGTATATTTTCCATTTTTCTCAATTTCAACACTTCGTTTTCCAAATGAAGTGTTCGTAAACTCCTCGCAGACTCAATTTGAAATGGCCCTCAATCGAGACTTTATTAAAACACAAATGTAAAAATAGGTTTTGATCCTTCCAATGAACTTAGCGTATTCGTACTTTCGCTGCGATGATAAAGACTGCGGCGACGGCGTCCCACCCGGGACCAGACCTCGGAAAAAAAATAATTGCGGAGCTGCAATTATTGTGTTTTGTTTATAATAATAGGTATTATTGCCATCAACAGAATCCAGTACAGTAATATATTCCAGAAATTATTGCAATACAATAATGGGTCAGAAGAAAAAGTCACCCCAACCAACTCTCGGTTCAGCGGTTCAAGCAAACCCGGAGCCGCACGACGGTTCGAAGACGGTTTGTATATGCATAAGAATGCTGAGTGGCTCTGCAAGCTTCGTTTAACCTTAGCCGCAGCAGACACTTACTACTCACTTTAAAACTTGAACCATGGTGGCGAGCCGTGACCTCAGCGCCTTCTTCTTCGAGCCTTAAAGCGAAGGGCTTCATCGGTGCAAGCTTTGCGGCACGGATTGAAAGCAACTTTCCGGCACAGGGTACTCTAACCTTCTCTCACACCTGGGAGCCGCCACGAGGACTTTCGTGCTCAGTACGACACCCACCATCACAATTTTGAGCGCCCGCTTGAAGCTTTCGGCTTCGTGTCCGAGGAAACATCCCACCGCTACCACTGGTTGCGGTGGGTTGTCGAGAGGAGCATGCCGCTGAGCGAGGTGGGCGACGAGCGAACCAGGGCCATGGCCAAGTGGAGTGCAACCAATTCCAAGGCGGTCAAGGCCGGCATTATTACGGTGGCGTCAAAACTGGGCTCTGTAATCGAGGAAGAGATGGAAAACGAGATCGATATAATGTACGACGGCTGGACGCATGGCACATTGCACTACGTTGCGGTTTACGGGCCCTATGTCGTCGGCGATCGGCTTCGACGCACGCTACTGACGCTTTCGCCCCTCGACGGGGGGGGGGGGGGTCAAGATGCAAACGCTCACATTGATCTTTACCAGAACGTGCTGGCGGCTTATAACAAAACCGTTGATATGATCGTGTTCATGGTTGCTTATAACTGCAACACCAACCGCAGTATCGCTACCATACTCGGCGTCCCATTGGTCGGCTGTGCATCCCATCGATTTAACCTGGCGGTTAAAAAGTTCTCAACAGAGCACGAATCACTGTTACAAAAGGTTAACAACCTCATGCAACAGTTACGTTACCCAAATAACGCCGCGCAACTTTCCAAGCTCATCCCCCTTTTCGCCAAGACGCGCAATGTGACGCGCTGGTTTTCTACCTACGAGATGCTGAAGCGCTACGTCAAGCTCAGAGCGCACGTCCGCCAGAGTGAAGCTGTCGAAGACTCCCTTCCGTCTACCAGCGAGCACAAGAAATTGTGCGCTTTGTTGGTGCACTTGACCAAGCTGGACAGTGTGTGCAAGCGTCTGCAGAGCGACACGACCAGTATGGGCGAGGTACGTATTCTTTTTGACTCGATTCTTTTGGGCTACCCTATTATGGGGGAATACCTAAAAACCAACTCAGAATTGTCCATTCGCCCATTTTTGAAAATGGTCTGGTGAAGGTCGGCGCTGGGTAGAAGCTGTCGGCTGCCGAAACCGCGGCGCTCAAGCGGTTCGAGGACCAGCAATCGACACAACGTCGATCGGAGACTGGACGCAAGCGCAAGCAGCGCGAGGACAACTACGCTGCGCAGATCATACAGCAAAACGGCCCGAAGAGACGCGCAGGTGGTGCTGTGTACACTGCTCTAGCTGCGCAGGTACCGCCGACATCGAATGCGTGTGAGCGCTTGTTTTCCGAGGCCAAGTACGTCCTTACGCCGCAGCGTAGCAGCACGCTTCCAGTCCACTTCGAAATGCTCGCCTTCCTACGTGCCAACAAGGACATGTGGAGTGTGACAAGTCTTCTTTAGGTAAGCTGAGATGGTGTTTTCATTAATGCCTGTAATGAAGATATTGCCAATAATTGCGCCGTAGTTATTGTGTGTTTTCTTGTGTATTGCCGTGATTATTATGGTAACGCCGGAGCGCCAATTTAATATGCTACTGTATTGTCCGAGGTCTGCCCGGGACAGCATAATCACCATCACCCTTTTCAAGTTTCCAGAGCACATGCAGACCTTGTGACACGTTTCAATGTTACCATTCAGCTCATTGGCGATAAAAGGGCTTCGTTTTCACGCGCATCTGCTTCGTTCAAAGTTTCTAGAAGTAGTTTCTATCGCAGGGCTACCGGTAAGGTCACCGTCGCCGCGAAACCTGGGCGTAAAACTGCGCTGGCGTAGGCAGCTGAAGAAGGAACTGTCGAGATTATTCTGTGTCGGTCTTGCCGAGGCATTTGCATGACCGACTACGAGCTTCGTATACTGGCTCGTGAGGTTCCGAATGCTGACAGTGTGCCAGTGAACGACACATTTCCAAAGGCAAAATGGCCTTTAAAGCTTGTTCGTCGTCATGGTGACCAGATGAGTCGGAAGAAAGCCCAATTTCTAAACATCAGGCGCTATAATATGTCTACAGAAAAGCGTATTAGGTCTTTTCACAATGAATTAGATAGCGTAATAAAAATCATTTCGGACCATTTCAAGTGTGTGACTGCGACGAAACTGGATTCTGACCTCAAGGACGGAAATCACCGCGTGTGATATGTGCCAAGGGGATGCGAGCGAATACTACGCGCTCAAACGATCGGGACAACATGTCCGTAATGGTCGGTGATAGTGCATCGGGTGATCATATTTCGTCAATTTTCATCTTTCCAGGGAAGCAACGTCAACCCGACTGGATGGTTGGCTGATTACAAGACTCTGCGTGCACTGTGACATAGTCTTCAGACATTCGCGGATTCTTGTTCTTGCATCGGTTAAAGTTCTTCAATGAGCAGATGAAGAAGAAATGAGTAACTCGACCGGTTCTGCTAATATTGGATGGTCATTTTTCGCACGTAAAAGAGCCTGTTTTACGGTACTCTGTACAAAGCAAGATCCATATATTTCACACACAAGTCAATTTACGCATCCTCTTGACGACACTGTGTTTTCTTCGTTAAAACACAACTTTGAAGAGCTGTTGTCTAACTTTCCGCTACGATTTGGACGTCCTCATGCCACTAAGTTTGACCTTGCTGGATTGATGAGCGAAGGTTGACAAGGTGTAGAGCTCACTGAGCACGTCAAGTTGGAAGGGACCGTCTTCGAGAAGAACTTTATCAAGGCGTACAAGAACACAGGTATATTTCCTCTCTCGAAAGACACAATGTTGGGACGAATGTGGGTAGCGAACCGGTTCTAAACCAGCTACCGCATATGAAATTTGTTCTTTATCGACTTGAGCTAAATGACCACCAGAAGCACAAGCTGCAAAGAGAAGGTATTTTAGCTGATGCAATTTTGGCAGTGCTCATGGGATTACAGCAAGTCGTTCAGCATACATCCGGCGTGCAGGCATCTAAGCGGAAACACACATATTTAGAGGGAGATTTTGAAAAATCTGCAGCGCCTGTGACCCCCCCCCCAGTCGCGCCTGCTGTAGCGAATCCAAATGCTACAGAAGAAGCACCACTATCGAGGGAGCCCATCCCGGAGAAGCTGGATTTGGAATCGCTGGGACAGTAGCGGTGTGAGCACTGAAACCACTGTGGGTAACGGCGTGGGTGAGTTTCACAATGATTTCTTCGTGGCCACCCTGCGCGTTAAAACGCTGTTTGGTAAGGTACTAACGGACGACGTGAGCGTGGTAGCAACGCCGAGTGGAAGATTTCTTAGAAGGTGGCCACGAAGACGACGAGGATCAGTTGGAGCCTGAAAAAGATGGTGCGGCTGTGAGAGCAAGGTTGAGTCTGACATTAACTTCGATGATGGGAGTGAGGAGATCCAGGACAGCGACACCATAATGCGTGAATTGGTACGGAAGGAAAGTTTCTTCTCTGCGACAACGCAAGGCCGGAGCCATCGTGGACGCAGCAGGTGCTCGCAGATTGGGCACCACTTCGCTGTAAAACCGCTCAACCAATGCAAAAATCTATTGCACAATAAAACTTAGGCGTAAACAGCATTTTGACAGCGTGCTCGACGCCCACACCCTCCGCAAGCGCCACCGCGCTGGCCCCCAGCGAGATGTAGACTCCCACCTGCTTGAGAAGATCGACGCGTACAAGGGGTGGCACGTGGATGCAACCGTCACGGGGCCATTGTACTAGACAAGCCGAGCGTGAAGAGGTACTGCTAGACAGTTTTGACCACCTGCAACCACCCGATGACAATCGGTGCCAATCTGAGCCCATC